GCCTTGGTTCTGCCCTTCATCTCTTCTCCCTTCCTGATCTAGTCCTCTTTGGTGGATACATAGCCCAGTCCAAAGGCATGTGGGTTGTGTGGCACATCTGTCAGTGTTTTAATACCTTTCCAGCCACTTCTCCCGGGTCCCATTCTTGGAACATACTGCAATTTGTTCATGAAATAGATGGATTGGGCGCTGACGTACATGCCTTCATCTGTAGCCAAAATCGTCAACACTTCCCAGGCTTCAGCTAGAGTAAATCCAAGGCCGGTAGCCCACATTTGTAGCCAGCAGCCCACAGTGGTGGCTAACAAGTCCCAAGGTTTTTTAGGCTTGAAAAACTATGGTTTTGGTCCAAGAACAAGGCAAAAGGTGTGTAGGGTTTTATGGCGCAAAGCTGCGGTATTCTGCTAAGGACTTCGACCACTTGACAAGCATATACAATTCATCATTAGGTGCACAAGCGATGGCGTCCAAGTCGTAAAGGTAGTCAAAAATGGGGTGTCTATGGTAGATAATAGTTAATGTTGAAATTGATATCCGAGAAATATAAAAATCAAGCAATAAGCTGTTGTAAGCTTGACTATTATGCAAAATTTTATTTTCAGCTTACTATTTTGAATTTTTAAAAATAGTTTATGACATAAGAAAATCATGAAAGTTTAGTATGATATTCTACCATGAGTCTTCATTGTTGGATAAAAATTTCAAGAATTAATTCCATGGGGATAATATCCAAAAATTCATGGACTTGGCATTGTTTTGTTGCATAATGCATTCATGTATCACCATATGTCCTCATCATATATAAGTTTGAGTGGAATTACACACAATGATTCAAGATTACAAGCATTTTGAATTATTACTCTTTTGCATCATATGGCATGGCTTATGTTAAGTGTACAGAGTCTCACACTTACTTCGATTCAGCCTAAGAAATAGTTATGCTTCGACAAGACGTAGTGTGCACAAGGTGAGTGTATGGGATTATTATATATATTGACAACTAAAATGTATATATTTTGGGTCTAATTTATGCTTAGTCTACCGATGTTGAAAAAGAGTACTTTTTTTATGCTTATGGTCCAATATATGCCCTTTCTACTGATGTTGTTTGAAGCTTGGTTGCTCTAAGAATGGAAGTTTCTAAAGACGAAATCCAAGCTGCTAAGAATTTCATAAAACAAAAACATGGATGGTACAAGCACTACAAAAAAGTCACTTTTAGCGACTAAAATATTGGTCGCCAATTGTCTGTTCTTTGGTCGCCAATGACACTCTGCAACCAAAAAATTTGGTCGCTACGTTTGTCGCCAAAACCCTGTCGGGAAAGGTCTTGGGGGGTTTTACCAACCAAAAAACCTTTGGTAGGGAAAAAGCAAGTCTTTAGCTACCAAAATTTTGGTCTCCAATAGTCAATTATATTTCTTTAAAATTATACACTTACCAACCAATGTTTTAGTCGCCAATAATCAAGGAATCGCCGACCAACATCGTTAGTCGCCAAAAGCAACCAATTGCTGACCAACATCTTTGGTCGCCAAAAGCTTCAAACGTGAAAAAAAAAAAAAAATCGTTGTACAACAATTTGATTCGCTCTTGCGGAGACTTGAACAACCAACCTCCCACACCATAAATCTTATGCACCACACTCATCCCACTACGCCTCTATAGCACCACATGATTATATATGTGACATATATTATTTATATAGTACATATATCCATATTAATATAAAAAAATGTGTAAACATAATTATTTTAATGAACATAATTTATGTAAAACAAACTATTTAGTATTTAGTAGCAAAAAAAAAAAAAAGATCACTTTTGGCTACTAATTGTTTTTTAGTCGCTAAAAAAGTTAACTTTTGCCGACCAAAGTCAGATTTGGTCACCAAATATGCACTTTCAGCTACCAAAATTTTGGTCGCTAAAAAATTTAATTCCCGCCTTAGGGTTTTTGTTCTCCCGCGCTAAAAATGACCACTTTTGGTTACTAAATTTATTTTTTTGTCGCCAATTGTAGTCTTTTGGCTACAAAAATGTTTTTAGTCACCAAAAAGCTTTACTTTGGCTACTAAAATTTTTTTAGTCAGTAAAACCCATATAATCAGCGACCAAACTTATTTTTAGTCGCCAATTGTAGACTTTTGGCTACTAAATTCTTTTGGTCGCCAAAAAGCTTTACTTTGGGCTACTAAAAATTTTTTAGTCATTAAAACCATATAATCAGCGACCAAACTTAGTTTTAGTCGCCAATTGTAGACTTTTGGCTACTAAAATTGTTTAGTCGCCAAAAAGCTTTACTTTTGGCTACTAATGCTATTTTGGTCGCTAAAAGCTACTAAAGCTATACTTTCAGCGACCAAATTTTTTTTAGGCGAGAAATTTGGTCGACGAATGTGCTCTTTTTTGTAGTGAAGCTGAGTGTTGATGCAATTGCATCAACCCGTGATGGTGCACTCACCAGAAGATATTTAGATAAGTTTTGTATGGTTTAGAACTCAAGGATAGTTTTTTTTTTTTTTTTTTTTTTTTTTTTTAAGGGGGGGAGGGGATGATTTAAAATGTTTTGGATGGTTTTGAACTTGAGGATAGTTTTTAATATCTAGTAACATGTTTTTTGAATGGTTTGGAATGTAAATTTTTTGGATATTCAGAACTTCTGGATATATATATATATATATTTGGATGTTTGAAACAAAATTTTGGTATTAATTTAGGCTTATATATATATATATATATGTGTGTGTGTGTGTGTGTGTGTTTGCGAAGCTTGTTTGTAATTTTTTTAAGAATATACAGAATACATGAAATAGATCCTACTAAATAAAAATATATATATATATACATATTCTACGGCATGCAAAAAAAGTTGTGAAACTTGAGTTATCTACAGCAGGCAAAATAGGTTGTTATATTAAATATTTAATAACTAGCAATGAACGTCGTTGTTTGTACTTTGAATTTACGGCGTGCAAAAGTAGTTGTAAAAAAATAAAATACGACATACAAGATCCGTTGTTAAAAGGTTTTTAATGGCGTACTACGGCATGCCGTTGAAATAAATGACTCTCCATGACTGGTCATAACAAAGTTTTACATCGCGCGTCGTAGAATCGTATCCACAACGTGTATTTGGTGTCGTAAAAATTCATTTTTGTTGTAGTGAACACAAAATGACGTATGTTTTTCACAAACTCACATAAGTGATATCACAAAAATGCATAAGTTAACACAAATTTTCTTTTAAGTGATCTTATAAAAAATTTTGTGGAACACAAAATCACGTAAATTTTTACAAAATCATATAAATGATCTCACAAAACTGGATAAATAACACAAATTCAAGTAAATGATCTCATAAAATTTTTAACAACACAAATTCACGTAAGTTTTTCACAAACTCACATAAGTGATCTAACAAAAATGAGTAAGTTAACACAAATTTTCCATAAATGATCTCATAAAATTTTTGAGGAACACAAAATCACGTAAATGATGTATTGAACAACACAAAAGCACGTAAATTTTTACAAACTAATGTATGAGATCTCACAAAAATGCGTAAGTTAACATAAATTTCCCGTAAGTGATCTGATAAAAGTTTTGAGGAACACAAAATCACGAAAATTTTCACAAAATCACATATGTGATCTCACAAAAATGCATAAGTAACACAAATTTGAGTAAGTTATTGATCAATTTATCCAATCAATTGACGAAGCTAATTCATTGGCCAATTAATTGGTTGTCGACAAGTCATGCAATCAATTGACAAATCGATTGGAGTGACGAATTCTCTCAATCGATTCACTAATCAATTTCTTTGTGAAATTTTAGACGTGTAATCAATTATAACGTTGATTGGTTTTGGTCAAATCGTCCAATCAATTGAAAAATTGATTGGTGGTGGTCAATCACATATTCATTCAATTGGTTATTGGAGTGACCAATTCTTCCAATCGAATGACCAATTGATTATTTTGTAAATCGATTATTTTGTAAAATTAGATGTGCAATCAATTAAAAAATTGATTGGTGGTGATCAAGCCATTCAATCAATTGGAGAATCGAGTAGTGGTGGTCAAGCCATCCAATCAATTGTACAATCAATTACAATGGTGTATTATTCCAATTAATTGGCAAATCACTTCTTTTACATGGTGCTGGACCGTCATTGGAAAATGTTCAAGTTGGAGACACCCAATGTTGCTTGAAACAACAAGGACACATTAGTGGATGTCGATATATGGTGACATTCGTACAATATAATAGATAGATTGGTGATTGGATGGAAAAGAGGTTTACAACCACTTGAAAATATGAAAAAACAATGAGTTAAGGAAAAAGATGTCGCCAATGCCTTCGTTGTTGAGCCACAAGGACACTTTAAGAATATCATTCTTGTAAAAAAATAAATTTTGCAAGGTGGACTCAGAGTTTTGGACTCAATTTGGAAGAAAGAGAGAGAGTGGACTTAGAATTTCAAACTCAATTCTCATGTTTGATTCAAGGAATTTGAGGCTTAAAGAGACAATTTTAATTGAGGTATCTTTTTTGAATATTTTTTTTTGTACATTTTATTATTTAAATTAATTTTTCTCATTTTTTAAATGAAAATTATTATTAGAGCTTATTTTATATATTAAAGGGTCTAATTGATATTTTGATAATACTTTGGGAGATAATGTAAAATGAAATTTGAAATCAAGTTTCGATGCCACATTAATTAATTTTTGAGTGATATATAGTTTGAGAGTTGAAAATAAAAATTTCTTCGAATTCCTCCCAGTGCAAAAATTACTAATTTCATAACAAATTGTCAATATCTTATCATCACCATATAACTAAACTTATATTGGGAATATAATTTTCTTAATATTATCTTTTAGTTATTTTACATTTCAAAAAGACGAGGGAAAATTTTAAATAAAAAAATTACAAGAATATTAAAAAATATATAAAAAATTCATTTAAAATTATCATTTTAGTCTCAAATTATTTCATGCCGGCCTTAGTTGATGAAAACCTCTCCTAATTTGATTTCTACTTACAATAATTTACAAAATGAACAATTCATATCATTCAAATGTGACGCGTGATGAGCCATCAATTAAACTGGTCTCCACATTAAAGGAAGCGAGATCCTTTACCATTTCAATTTCCTTTATCTTGCCTCACTGTTGGCAATTCTACCACCCCAGCTTGGTATGGAAGCCATGTAGAGTCTGGTGCTCGATGATCATCTGGTGTATCTACTTTTTCTTCAGTGATCTCTCCTCTGTTAGAGAAATTATTCTTGTTGGTTTGATCAGTTGGAATTGGAGTAGTTGAAGTGGGTCGATGATGATGGTGAGATGAGAAATCAGTGGGACTGTTTCTGAGGCTCCAATCAGGTGTTGACAATGAAGTTCGAGGAAACATTAATAATGAACACTGCTCTTGCTTCTTCCTCTTCACTCTCACCTCGGCATGCCATTGCTTTATAATGTTGGCTATTTTCTCTTCTAGTACCTTACTCTTAAATTGTGATCCCATCTGTCACCAAACAATCCATTATTATGTATTTAGGGATACATAAATTTTTTCCAGAAAATTGCACCCAGTATCCATTTATTTTAGGGTAAATTATACAAATGACACATAGTTTGACTTTTCGCCCACCAAGCTTAACAACAGTTATTTATTGGACTAAAATGACACAATCTATTAAATTAAAGAGCAAAATCAAGCAAATTGAAACAAAATGGACCAAATTGATATATTGTGTAAACTACTAGAACTATTTGTATAATTTACCCATTATTTTATGTGGCTTACATTTCAGAAAAATAAATGTCTTAGCAATATATTTTGCATTCATTTTGAATTGGGTCTACACTCAACAAAAAATGAATGTTATTCTTACTCCACTATTTTATCCTAAATTTGCAATTTTGTGATTATATATATATATATATATATGCCCAATTTCTAATACATTTAAAGGATTCAAGAATATATGAATAAAATATATGCTAAATTTTTTATTTTTTTACATTTACTTTTTCTTTTCAAATATCTATCCAAATTTATTATCCAAACACAGACTAAATAAAACTTAATTTTTATAACAATAATACTACATACCCAAAAAAATTATCCTATATATATTTGTATGGACCACTATCATTTTGGGTGTGGCCTAACTCCTACCAACTTTAAATCAACACCACAAACCTCATTTTTGGAATAAATTTTGAAATAAAAATTCACACTATATGGCATTTTATTTTTATAATCATAATAATATATATGGATACATATGAAAAACAATATTCTACTATTTATATAGTAGAAATATTATAAATTCAAGATGAAAACATACTCAAAAAATGCTCAAAATTTAAATGTATAGTATAAATTTAAATTTTGTATGGTGTAAGCCACACTCAAGATGAACTTGATCACATATTTCAAAGTCTTAGCATTTTTCTCAATATTAATATTATTGTAAAAATATGTAACATGTTAGTAATAGTACTAGTAGTAGTTTCACCTGTGTCACAAGTGCATAAAGGGGAAGTGTAATATAGCTGCACAGAACCTGAACTGCCACCCTGAGGAATAAAATCATATTGGAATTAGTAATGAAAAACAAACATGTGTTAGGTTTTATTCTTGGCAATTCCGTTAGACAAAACTCCTTTCAGTTGTATTTTTATTCGATCTTTTTCTTTCAGTGAGACTATGAGTATTTAGATACGAATCCAATCCGAATTGTGCCTTGCAAAGGAGTTTGTGATCTTATTTGACCGCTCAAGCGGTCATTTATGTACTCAAGCGAAGAAAAACAGATCCTTCAATATTTTTGCAGAGCGTTTGAACTTTTGGGAAGAAAGTTTTATCGCTCAAGCGGTAAAAGTTGCGCTTGAGCGGTCAGCCTATATGTTTCACACCGCCTTTAGTCAAACTGCTCGAACAGTGAAATGTGTGCTCGAGCGGTCTGCACGATCTTGTTTTCTATAAAGTGCATTATTCGCTGTTTCTAGGGTCTGAGCCGTCCAGATTTTTAGCGAGAGACAAAATACAAAGTATGCTTTCTGAGGGTTTCCTTGATGATTTAAGAGTGATCAATGAATCCGTGAACTTTATATCAACATCATCAATAGTTTGTTTGTTTTCGTTTATTCATAAAAAGAGATTTATTCTTCGGTGGATTCTATGAAACTTGGGCCTGAAGCTTTGGTGGATTCCAGAGTGGCTCATCGTCGTGGATTCAACGTTGGGAAAACAATTCTGAGGTGAAGGTTGTAATGCCCCAAAAATTAGGCAGGGTATATCTATTTATGATACAAAACCCACCTGATAGACAAATACATATATATAGCTAACTATTCCATACATCCATTTCTATTAAATCCCAAATGCCAAATACGTGTTATTCACATCTCAATGCCCCAGTTCCAATCCCAAGCATACATTTTACAACAAGTATGAAATGGAAGCCGAACAGATAATAAATGGCCTATAGGCTTACAAATTTATCCAAGAACATTCTTGGTACACAAAATGGAGTTTCAACTCAACGCAAATACAACCCTGGGCTTACATTCAACAAATAACAATAAAACAAAAATAAAGCCTCAGCTCCGAGTCCTTCCAAGTCAATGCCTTGACGGAGGCATAGCACATGTACCTGAAATGGTTTCCCTTATAGGGTAAGCCACAGCCCAGTAGAGATATACTACACAACATATGGACCATGACAAGACTAAAGAGGAGTATGCTCATGCCATGCTCATGATAAAATAATTTACCTCTCTTTTTATAAAGCATGCAATGCTAAGATGCAACAACAGATATAAAACCATTTCTATTTTAAACCATATCTGTTATATGAATACAGGCTTTGTGAATCTCTAGGTGAGTGTCTGCAAGTAGGCCCTAATGCACTACCACTATCATTTTTACCAGTAAACTGGAAGGCTCGACACCTAACCGCGCGGTCCTACACCCCCTACCCAGATTCATCAAGTATTTATCTTTTCGCAAACAGATACATTTCCAAACATTTCTCAAAAACAGATACATTTCCAATGAAATGAATGTAATGCAATGTCTAATGCAACAAATGAAGAATGTTGTTCAATTTACCTAAGTCTCATGCATTTTTACAACAATCATGGCTATCCTCCACCGATAGCCCAAAATAGATATTTCTAAACAGATATTTAAACAATTAAATTCCAAAAATTTTGATAGGATGTAAACAAGATAATAATCAACTACCAACATCCACGGACACATGTCTGGATCACTGTTCAACAAGGGTAAACCCGGGATCGCTATATTGCATCCTAGGAGGTCGGTATCATTGTTCTCGAGCACCATAGCGAAAACGTAACGATCTTAAGGAGAGTGTGTCCAACACAGGCCTTAACTTTTTCTGTATTTCTGCATTTTCTACATCCTGTAAGTTCTATTCATATTATTTTATTTTATTTACAGTTTGTAGTCATTTTCTTTTGTTTTTGTGGTTTTCAGAAATATTATTCTGTTACAGAATAATTTTTTGGTTTCCAAAAAATAATTTACATTATGAAATTATTTAGACTTTTATTATAAAAGTCATTTTGTATCTTTTTTTAATACACACAGTTCACTTGTTTTAATAAATAGTTTCCTACAACTTAAGATCGTTATTTATTTTACTATTTAGTGTGTGTGTTTATTTGGGTTTCTAAATTGTGAATTTCATAAACATGTCAACGGATAGTGCTGAGACTATTCGGATCGTGACCCCAACAGTCTCGGAACCACCGCCAGTGACTCCTACAGTGCCAATAAACCATGGAAAAAAACTGGAAAAATTCAATAGAACATAGTTTAAGATATGGCAGCAAAAAATATTGTTTTCTCTTACAATTTTGCATTTGGCCCCGTACATCCGTAAGGAGGCCCCGAAATAGACAGAGGGGAAGGACGCTGATTGTCAACTTGTCGCTATGGTAGATGCCTGGAAACAAGGTGACTTCCTGTTTCGGAATTACACACTTAATGGACTTGACAATTCTTTATACAATATGTATTGTGTAAAGAAAATGGGCAAAGAACTGTGGGAATCTCTTGAATTGAAGTACAAAATAGAAGATACTGGTGCAAAAAATTTTGTTGTCGAACATTTTCTAGATTTTAGAATGTTAGATTCTAAAACGATGATTGGTCAAGTCCAAGAAATTCAGTTGATCCTACATGATATCATTACCGATGAAATGGTTCAGACTGAATCATTTCAAGTTGCTGCTATTATTGAAAACTTTCTCCAGTATTGAAGGATTTCAAAAATTACCTTAAGCACAAGCGCAAAGAAATAAAGTTGGAAAAACTTATTATGCGACTGAGGATTGAAGAGGACAACCGTAAATTCAAGAAGAAGTCTGGGAACCAAATCATGCAAGCTAAGGAAAATGTTATGGAACAATGACAGAGTTTGAGGTCCAACAACAACAAGAAGAGAAAGCATGATGGCCAAGGGTCCAAGCAAGCCTTCAAAGGTGAGAACAACAAAATATTCAAAGGCAAGTGCTATGTGTTAGGTGGCGATGGACATCGAGCAAAGGATTATCGAAGCCGCAAGGATGAAGCAAGTTCCAGCAAGAAACTGGCATAAGCCAACATAACCAAAGGTTACGATTTTTCTGATGGATTGGCAGACATCAACCTTTCTGTAGTAGTCTCTGAGGCTAACTTGGTGGGCAACCCTAAATAAAATTCAGCGTAAAATTTCACCTAAACACCAACCATGTCGAACCGATTGTTGAAAATTTTGAGTTTCTAGGCCGCTTTTTGGGCAATTTTGAGCCCAAATTGACGCGAGACCCATGCACCATTTGAGGTGGGTTTGAGTGGTGACATGTTCTTTGTCACGTGTTGAATCATGCCTCGAAGACGATTCGTCAAAAACATTTCCGAATGAATGGAAAGTTAACATCATTTTCGAGTTCGTAAAAATGGAAGTTGAAGAGACAAAGTGGATTTGCTTATTAAATGGCTTGTTCCACATTGAAATATAGAGAGAGTTTATATAGGTTGGCATACTTGGGATGAGCCACAAAGGGCACCCCAAGTTTTGTAAAAAAGGCAGTTATGGACAAAGTGTGTTTGACCCAAATCCACCACATGCGCGCCGCCGCTGCCGTTCAACCGGCCGTGTCGGGTGTGTGGTGTGGGTCATGTCCTAACTTTAATGTTTTAGACAAAATTCATTTGAATTTTTTCAAACACTTTTGAGGAAAAATTCAAAATTCCAAATTGAAATTCAAATTTGTGTAGGAAATTTTCAAATTCAAATCCGAACAGTGGCATCCCTTCATTCTTTGGTCACCTCTCTTCACTCCGACAGTTTTCAGATTCGCACCTGTTTGGAGGAGTTCCAAACCCATCCGAACAGTCACCATCTTGCCTATAAATTCAGACATTGTCCAAACAATTCCATCATTCGTTTTTCTCCTCTCTTTAAGTGCATACTTTTGCATATTTGTTCTTCTGTGTTTCCGTAAGAGAGAATACAACATAGTCTGTTCACCAGTCCCAATCTCGTCGTGTTGTGTTGTTGGGTATAGTCGTTGCATCTTGGGAGGTCGACGCCATTGTTCTCGAGCAACACAGTGAAGACGTAACGATCTTAAGGAAAGTGTATCCAACACACATCTCAACTTTTTCTATACTTCTGCATTTTCTACATCTTGTAAGTTCTATTCATATTATTTTATTTTATTTACAGTTTGTAGTCATTTTCTTTTCTTTTTGTGGTTTTCAGAAATATTATTCTGTTACAGAATAATTTTTTGGTTTCCAAAAAATAATTTACATTATGAAATTATTTAGACTTTTATTATAAAAGTCATTTTGTATCTTTTTTTAATACACACAGTTCACTTGTTTTAATAAATAGTTTCCTACAACTTAAGATTGTTATTTATTTTACTATTTAGTGTGTGTGTTTATTTGGGTTTCTGAATTGTGAATTTCATAAACATGTCAACGGATAGTGCTGAGACTATTCGGATCGTGACCCCAACAGTCTCGGAACCACCGCCAGTGACTCCTACAGTGCCAATAAACCATGGAAAAAAACTGGAAAAATTCAATAGAACATAGTTTAAGATATGGCAGCAAAAAATATTGTTTTCTCTTACAATTTTGCATTTGGCCCCGTACATCCGTAAGGAGGCCCCGAAATAGACAGAGGGGAAGGACGCTGATTGTCAACTTGTCGCTATGGTAGATGCCTGGAAACAAGGTGACTTCCTGTTTCGGAATTACACACTTAATGGACTTGACAATTCTTTATACAATATGTATTGTGTAAAGAAAACGGGCAAAGAACTGTGGGAATCTCTTGAATTGAAGTACAAAATAGAAGATACTGGTGCAAAAAATTTTGTTGTCGAACATTTTCTAGATTTTAGAATGTTAGATTCTAAAACGATGATTGGTCAAGTCCAAGAAATTCAGTTGATCCTACATGATATCATTACCGATGAAATGGTTCAGACTGAATCATTTCAAGTTGCTGCTATTATTGAAAACTTTCTCCAGTATTGAAGGATTTCAAAAATTACCTTAAGCACAAGCGCAAAGAAATAAAGTTGGAAAAACTTATTATGCGACTGAGGATTGAAGAGGACAACAGTAAATTCAAGAAGAAGTCTGGGAACCAAATCATGCAAGCTACGGAAAATGTTATGGAACAATGACAAAGTTCGAGGTCCAACAACAACAAGAAGAGAAAGCATGATGGCCAAGGGTCCAAGCAAGCCTTCAAAGGTGAGAACAACAAAATATTCAAAGGCAAGTGCTATGTGTTAGGTGGCGATGGACATCGAGCAAAGGATTATCGAAGCCACAAGGATGAAGCAAGTTCCAGCAAGAAACTGGCATAAGCCAACATAACCAAAGGTTACGATTTTTCTAATGGATTGGCAGACATCAACCTTTCTGTAGTAGTCTTTGAGGCTAACTTGGTGGGCAACCCTAAATAATGGTGGGTGGATACTGGAGCAACCCGCCATATTTGTGCAGACAAGAAAATGTTCACAACCTACAAAGTGGTGGAAAATGGCGATTAGCTTTTCATGGGAAACTCCTCCACATTAACTATAGAAGAAAAAGGGAAGATAGTGCTGAAGATGACCTCAGGAAAGGAACTCACTCTCAACAATATACTCTATGTTCCAGAAATTCGCAAAAAAATTTAGTTTCTGGGTCATTGTTGATTAAGAATGGGTTTAGGCTAGTATTTGAATCTGAAATAGTTTACTAAGGCTGGAATGCATGTAGGCCGTAGCTATATGACTAATGAGCTTTTTAAGCTCAATGTGTTAACTGTCGTACCAACTATTGCTTCTAATAATAAGAACACATCTTTGGTTATATTATTGATCATTCTCATTTATGGCATGGTAGATTAGGACATGCAAATTATGATTCTTTGCTTAGACATGTAAATCTATAATGTTTACCTAATTTTAATTTTGATCCTAATCATACATGTAAAGTATGTGTTGAAGCTAAAATGACTAGAATATCATTTAATAGAATCGAGAGAAGTATTGAACCTCTAGGTTTAATTCACACCGACATTAGTAATTTAAAATTTGTGCAAACTAGAGGTGGTAAAAAATACTACATAACTTTTATTGATGATTACACTAGATATTCGTATGTGTACTTATTGCAAATCAAAGATGAGGCCTTAGAAGCTTTTAAGCAATATAAGGTAGAAGTTGAAAATCAACTTGGCAAAAAGATTAAGATTGTGAGAAGTGATAGAGGCCGTGAATATGATGCACCATTTGATGGGTTCTACTCAGAACTTGGTGTTATTTATCAAACCACTACACCTTATTCTCCTCAGTCAAGCGAAGTGGGTGAAAGGATAAACCGCATTCTTAAAGAGATGAGGAATACCTTGTTGATAAGTTCGGGTTTACCCCAGAACTTGTGGGGAGAGGCTATTTTATCAGCAAATTATATCCTAAATATGATACCTCATAAGAAAATTAACCAAACACCTTATGAATTATGAAAAGGTCATCGACCTTCTTATAATTACTTAAAAGTATGGGGTGCCTGGCAAAAGCAGCGATCCCTGGTCCTAAAAAGACTAAAATTGGACCAAGAACCGTTGATTGTGTATTCATCAGTTATGTAAATAATAGTAGTGCATATCAGTTTTTGGTACTTAAATCAAGTATTCTCGATATAAATGCAAATATTATTATCAAGTCAAGAAATGCATCCTTTTTCGAACATATCTTTCCTTGGAAAAAGGATGAAGAGAATCAAATTCTTGTAGATACAGTGACAATGGCTGAACAAGTCGAGTCGTCTGGATTGGAAGAGCTAAGTTCTTCTAATAAACAAACTTTAAAGCCACCATTGAAAGTGGCAAAGACCAACAGGAATATGAGCCTACACGTGGAAAGAGACTAAGGACATCTAAATCTTTTTGTCCAGATTTTTTAACTTTTATGTTAGAAAATGAGCCTCAAAGCTTTAAGGAAGCGATATCAAGTTCTAAAGCACCTTATCGAAAGAGGCAATAAATGGTGAAGCTGAGTCTATTCTACAAAACCATACTTGGGAGTTGGTTGATCTTCCTCTATGGTGCAAACAACTTGGATAAAATTGGATTTTCAAAAGGAAGATGGAAGCCAATACGTCAATTGATAAATACAAGGCTCGTCTTGTAATTAAGGGGTATAGACAAAAGAAAGATCTTAACTACTTTGACACATCTCCTGTAACAAGAATAACATCCATTTGTATGTTGATTGCTATAGCAGCTTTGTGTAATCTTGAAATAAAGTAAATGGATGTTAAAACCGCCTTCTTAAATGGAAATTTAAATGAAGAAATCTACATGGAACAACCCGAGGGATTTAGAGTTCCTGGCCAAGAGAAGAAGGTTTGCAGACTTGTCAAATCTTTATATGGATTAAACCAAGCACCAAAACAATGACATGAGAAATTTGATCATGTTATGATTTTTGATGGGTTTAGGATAAACGAGTGTGACAAATGTGTCTATATCAAAAATACTAATTGAGGTTATGTCATCATTTGTCTCTATGTAGATGATATGCTCATCATTGGTAGTAATATCGAAATGATAAAGTCTACCAAGAAATTGTTAAACAAAAGGTTTGATATGAAAGATATAGGAGTAGCAGATGTCATACTTGGAATGAAAATTTCTAAAATATGGCAGAAATGGCATATAGAATGCAACATGGACTTATACTAACATGAGAGAGCCTCAGCCACACTCACATAAGAGGCCAATGGATGAAAATGAAGTGCCTTGAAATGCGTGCGCACGGGCACGCAAACCGAGGCAATGGCATACGCAATGCAATATGGCTAAAATGGCATATAGAATGCAACATGGACTTACACTAACATGAAATAGCCTCAGCCACACTCACATAAGAGGCCGATAATTGAAAATGAAGTGCCTCGAAGTGCGTGCACACGGGCACGCAAACCGAGGTAATGGCATACGCAATGCAATGGCATGAAAATGGCATATAAGCATGCTAATGGATTTTCAGCAATGAAAAGTGGGGGAAAACAGCCCCGAAACGAGGCGAAAGTACACCCGATGCACGGAATGGTCCCGAAACATGAATTTTGGCACCCGAAATGGCCTATAGCTATACCAAATATGCACAATTGGTACATGGAATGTAAAGACAGAAGCAAGGAAGCCCCAAAATAAGCATTTTACTAGTACAAAACATGCCCAAACAACAAGCAAAGATAGGGCAAAATTAGCATGCGAAAATGGCCCTAAACATGGGATTAAGAAGCAACTCATAGCTGATGTCCTCAAACAGGTTAGGGCCCTTCAACAACATTGAAGAGGGACCAAAAATAAGCCACTTTACAGAACTGTAAAAAACCTAAAAATAATCATAGACAAGGCTAAGTTCTTATGCAAGAAAAAGGGCCAAAGGGTGGCCAAAGAGGCAAGTGGTATATGCAATGCCCAAAATGAAAAATTCACTTCTACAACATTGAAGAGGGACCAAAAATAAGCATATTTTCAGAACTGTAAAAACTCCAAAACAATATACAAACATGCTAGAAATGCAATGCAAAATGAGGCTCAAAGGAGGCTATAACATGAAGTATGCAAAATATTCCACAAATGGCCAAAGACCCTTAATGAAACATGTTAAGAAGGTCAAAATAAGGCCATCTCTAGGCCTGTAGATCGACCAAAACAGAAGCATGATAGGCGGCCAAAGCATGCAAAAATGGGGACCAAAAGAGAGATATAACATGAAGTGACATATGGAGGTCCCAAACAGTGATGAGCCCTTCTTCAATGTTGAAGAGGGGCTCAAAATAAGCCTATTCACAAAACTATAAAACGCCCAAAAATGGAAGCATAATGGGTTGCCAAAGCATGCAAGAAAATTGACATTTAAGGGGATATTGAAGCAAGTGCAATATGGGGGCCTCAAACAGGGTTGAGCCCTTAATGAAACAAGAAAATGAGCTCAAAAAAATGACATTTTCAGTTTTGGTCGGAGCTCAAATCAATAAGCATGTATGGCTT